TAGGGTTCCCTATATAGCCGTTTCGTCCACCATCTCCCAGGATATCCAACAAGGCTGTTGTTTCGTCCATCCACTAATCAAACAATTTTTCGTTTACCTTTAATTTTTAGTTTTTTAATTGATGTCCGAAATGCTAAACTTTTGGCTGCAACTACTGGCGGTCTTTGGGTTCCCTGAATTTTTTTTTTCGGGAATTAAAACGCGCTTCAAGTACCTAGAAATATCCTAAAAAATCTAAAATCAGTGTTAAATCTGATCGTCTGATTGTATCTGAGGAGAGAACGGATCCAGAACGTCTGTGCATGCGGGAATGAATCTAGACCATCCGATCGTGGGTACGCGGATCGTCCGCGTGGCACCGCGTCAGCGTCCATTGCCACGCGGCGCGCTCCGGTTCGTCAGGACTACTGACTGGGCGTCCTACGTGACACAATTTTTTTAAATTATATTTTGATCCCTAATTTTTAAATTTTCTTTCAGAAATATCTCTGGAACCCAAATTTTCTCAAAATTATTTTCAATTTTATCCTCCATTTAATATTTTTCATTTTTACCTCAAATAAAACTTAAAAAATTAGAAAATTATATTTATTCATTAATTTTAATTACAATTAAAATTAATTAGGGCATTACAATTACATCCGTTAATGTAGGTATATGAATTTTACAAGTAAACTAATTTTATTAGCACTGAGAATATTTTTTAATAGATAAAAAAAAAAAGAATGAATTTTACTATGTACAAATAAGGTAAAATGTTGTGACAAACCCATAAAAGAATTTTACATTTTTTGTTATTTGTGACATGGTTTGGTGGATTGACTAAAACGCATGGTAGCATGTGCTTGTGTTAATTTTATAAATTCTTTCATCTTACACTTCTCACTCTTCATAAAACCTTCTTCTTCTTTCTTTCTTTCATACGCACACTAATTTATTATTTTCATTATTATATAATTTCATACACTAAAATAATATGTATTGAATGGACCGACCAATTTGTTTGGGTAAAGTCAAAAACCTCACCAATTTTAGAAACTTTAAAAAATTTGGATTAACTTGATGGTCCATACTTTCCTTGCATCATAACATTTCGATGTGGGACCCATTTAACTGCCCTCCCAATTTAATATTTAACAATTATTATTATTATTATTTATTTTTCTATAAATTTGTTTTTAGGAAAAGAAAATACCCTCGATGGAAGAAACGTATATCCTCTTCTGCCCTTTTTTTTTTTTTTTTTCTTTTAATAATAAATAAATAGAAATAAATTAAGCTGATAATTATTTTTATTTTTTTAAAAAAAATATATGAAAATTTAGAATCCAAGCATAGGCTCTGAATATGCATTGCTTGTTGGTGTAACTAATAACACCACCTATATATGCTTTTCTTTTTTCTCTTCTTTTTCAGACCCCATGCACGGGATATTTTATGTATATATATATATGTGTGTGTGTGTGTATAACACCAACATGCATATCACGTCCATTCACGTAATTGGTTGACCACTAATATATAATATTATTATGTACACATACATGCATTGTATATTGGACGTGAATTGCACTAATAAACACGTTAATGAATTCCTACACGACCTTAAAATCAATGTGGGTGTATTAGAGAAACCACTAATATTTACGTACTTTTACATTATCAATCAATCAATCAATCAATCATTCCTGGGTCATGTGGGAAAGTACTTTTAATGCACCATAAGAAACATATTCACATGGTGTATGCATGTGTGTATATATATCCATATATGTGTAGGTGTACAGTTTGTCAAAGAGTATATATGTATATGCGTATGTATAGTTGACAAAAATGTCAATATTGAGTAGGCTTTTGAGAAAGAGGCAACTACTCTTGCTTGGCCTAAGTCCTAACCCTATCTAAATTGGACCAACCTCTTACCTACACCAAATCAAATGAATTAAATTAAATTAAATTAATACCCTTTTTATATCTAATCCCTCTTAGACAACTCTCTTTTTTGTTGCTTCTAATTAAAATCTATGCAATCAAAGCCTAATTAGCTGTTTGATCATTGATTGGGTACTTAATTATCTCATAATCCATCACATATACATATTATTTGCTTGAAATTGATCAAGTAATATGGGCTTACAATCATATTTATAAATATCCATTTCAAGGCAAGATTTATCTCTAATTTTTTTTTTTTATAAAAAAATTCTATCAAGATAATTTTAATAATTAATAGGCAGTTCATTTTACAAAGTAAGAGTATTATTTTTCACTATCTACTAATATTACTCTACACAAAAATTTTGGTAAATCTATTATTAGATTAACAAATTAATCCAAACACTCTCCTTAATCAAACATTCTATTTAGAGGTTTAAATAAAAGTTAAAATCTTAATTGACCAATATTTAAATTGTTATTTAGATCTTATATTAAATAAAGTAACTTATTTATGTTTTATTATTTTATCAAAAATTTCAGCATTCAAAGAAAAGAAAAAAAAAAACCCAATTTAATTGCATCTACATATATTTTACAACAAGTTACTAAATTAGTACTTATTATAATTTAGTTCATATTATTTTTTTGTTTAATTTTTAAAATATAGTTATTTAGAATTTTTTTTAATTGGAAAAACTGTTTGAATTTATTTTTATTAATTAAAATACCCATTTAAGTTATTTTTGAAAATATCTAAATATAATTATTATTATTTTAATTTTATTATAATCTTCATTTCTAAAATTAAATTTGCAAATCGGTCGGGTCATATCCATTCGGGTCATTAACATGAATATTTGGAAGTTAAACTGAAGGAGGAAGTAAAGACGCACTGAGTTTCATCTGAAGTTAACTGAGTCCACGCGCTTATCCGGAAGTGTAGGACACACTCCACCATACGTTCTACTTCGCTTTGACCAGTTTTTACTCTCGTTTAATTATCAAAGATTAATTGGCCCGTTTCTTTCAGGCCCACACATAATAACTTAAATTCATTATTCAAAGTATTATTTTCAATAATTAAAAGTAAAATAAATAAAACAGGAAACCTAAAATGTTATCTCAAAGTTGAAAAAGGAAACCAGCTTACCATAAAAATCTACAGATGATGTATTAAATAGGACACGCTCCTTACTAAAACCACTCACGACCCACGCGCGTTTTCCTTTTCGTCTTTACTACCCACCATTTACTTAAAACCACTCTCCCTCATTCTCAATCCTAGAAAACTTCACTCGTCACCTTCACCTTTACTTCTCTCTCTAAACTATATATATATATATATATATCTATATATGTAGACAGAGAAAGAGTGCGAGAAAATCTCATATGCACAAAATCCATCTCCCTCTCTCTCTCTTTCTCTGTTGAGTTTCTCTGTAGATTATCGAGTCAACTCGGTCTGCGTTTCTTGAATGTTCAAATGAGTTTGTGGCCAATGAGACTTTCACGACTGACAGTCAAAACAAAGCATGCCAATCTCTACTACATAACCTTCGTCACAATTCTCTGCGCCACCTTTTACTCCATCGGCTTATGGCAGCATTCCTCCGGCCGAATCCCTACAGCCGCCACCCACAACGCCGTCATCCCCTGCGCCAATTACCTTCAAAACGTTACCGTTCCCACCCTTGATTTCGCGGCCCATCATCTCCCCCCAGACCCACCTCTCTCAGCCGCGCGTGTCGTCCATCTCCCTCCCTGTGATTCCCACTACACGGAGTACACTCCCTGCGAGGACGTCCAGCGATCGCTCAAGTTCGATAGGGACATGCTAATTTACAGGGAGAGGCACTGCCCTGAGAAGGAGGAGTTGTTGCGGTGCCGCGTGCCGGCCCCTCATGGTTATACGGTGCCGTTTAGGTGGCCGCAGAGCAGAGAGTTGGCATGGTTCGCCAACGTTCCGCACACGGAGCTGACTGTGGAGAAGAAGAACCAGAACTGGGTCCGGTTTGAGGGGGATCGGTTCAGGTTCCCCGGGGGAGGCACCATGTTCCCACGAGGAGCAGACGCTTATATCGAGGAAATTGGGGAGCTCATCGATCTAAGAGATGGCTCGATAAGGACCGCCATTGATACCGGTTGCGGGGTACGTATGTTTGCAATCTCCTCTTTTTCTCCAAATTCCCAGTTCTCTCATTCATGTTTTTTTTTCACTAGAAATGGACCGAGTCGGCCGGTTCATAATCATATAAACCGGTCGGCTTAAATTTTTTCTTTTTTGGGTATAATTGATTAATGGGATATTAAGTGGGATTTTACTTTCTATAATATAATAAGAATAATAATTTTTAAGGAATTATAATAATATTATTATTATTATTATATTTAGTTTTTGCCTTGTTTGGTATGTTTCTTTTGCGGGTAACTTAAACAGTCAAGTTTCTGTATAATATTTCACCAAGAAAATTAATACATCTCTATATTTACATAATAAATTATGTGTATAATTTATTCATTTTTTAGAAGATATAATTTAAAACCTTGACCCATACCAAAGACAAATGCCACACCTCTTCTTCTTATTTATGAAACACAGAAAATGCCAGTTATTAAATATAAAATTTAATGACTTGCAAGAATCCAAATAAATAATTTTTACCTGTTGGTTTCAGAATTTCTGAAATGATGAATTATTCGAGTTCGAACTTTAAATTATTCGAGAGTGCTATGTTGATCTAATTTTTTTTTTTAAAAAATATAACAACAGAACACTGAATTGTTATTTAAAAACAAATTAGTTGGAAGGGGTATGATTAATTAGGTAGATTTTTTTTTTTTAATTCCCAATCTAAATAAGTAAGCTTAATTAGTTAGCTTAATCTCAACCTAAGCTAACACACACACATATATATATATAATGCATACTTAGAATTTTATAATTCTTTTTCAAAAAAAATATTATTATATTCTTCGCATACAAGTAAAGTGATTCACCAAGAATATATTATCAATAATATTTTTCTATCAAACTTCTAAGTGGGAAAAGGAGTTCTTCCCTTGCTTGTCTTGGTTATCTATAACCTACCATTCACTCTTCATCCTTTCCCAACTTACATCTTCATAATTTTTAGAACAGAATTTTCTTTTTCGCAAATTATTCTATGAAACAAGTATATTTGGGTCCGCTTTTGGTGGATTTTGAAAATCTCATAATAAATAGATTGGTATGCTATATGAAAAGTTTGTTTAATTTTGTAAATGAATATACATTGTAGTTAATGTGATGAAATGAAGGGCTAATAGAGGGTTATATATGTAATTAAGAAGTTGAATTAGTGCTAATTGTCCTGATTAATTAATTAAGGTTGCAAGCTGGGGAGGTTATCTTCTATCAAGAAACATAATAACAATGTCATTTGCACCAAGAGACACCCATGAAGCTCAAGTTCAATTCGCTCTAGAAAGAGGGGTGCCTGCACTTATTGGAGTCATGGCCTCCATTAGGCTCCCTTACCCTTCAAGAGCCTTCGACATGGCTCATTGTTCTCGTTGCCTCATTCCTTGGGGTCAATACGGTACCGTTTTCAACTCAAACACTTCCTACCCATACCTTGTTCTTTTACAAATTTGCAATTTTTGGGTTGCCGATGATTTGGGATTTTTGATGATTGATCAGATGGACTTTACTTGATAGAGGTCGATAGGGTTTTAAGGCCAGGAGGGTATTGGATTCTGTCAGGACCACCCATAAATTGGGAGAGCCATTGGAGAGGGTGGAACAGGACAAGGGAGGATCTGAAATCAGAACAGACTGTGATTGAGAATGCGGCCAAAAGCCTGTGCTGGAAAAAATTGGTACAGAAAGGTGATATTGCTATATGGCAAAAACCCACTAATCATATTCATTGTAAAGCTAACAGGAGGGTGTTCAAGCATCCCAAGTTTTGCCATCAACAGGATCCTGACATGGCTTGGTAAGAACTCCTTTCTTTCAAAAACAATCAAATTTCTTCTCTGCGTTTTTTTTTTTTTCAATTTCTTTTCTCTGTGTTGATTCCTTTGATTTTTGAACTAGGTACACCAAATTGGAGCCATGTCTAACTCCATTGCCAGCAGTGTTGGATATAAGGGAGGTTGCAGGGGAGAAGTTAGAAAAATGGCCAGAGAGATTGAACGCCATACCTCCAAGAATCAATAGTGGAAGTGTGAAGGGAATCAATGAAGAAATATTTGTAGAGAACACAGAGTTGTGGAGGAAAAGAGTTTCTTACTACAAGTCGGTGGATTATCAATTGTCTGAAACTGGAAGGTACCGTAACTTGCTGGACATGAATGCTCATTTGGGAGGATTTGCTGCAGCGCTTGCCGATGATCCTGTATGGGTTATGAACATTGTCCCCGTCCATGCAAATGTCAACACTCTTGGTGTCATCTATGAACGCGGCCTTATTGGAACTTATCAGAATTGGTAAACTATTTAACATGAATCTTCAAAAATGGTTTCTAAATTTTTAACTGTATTTTAAAGTTGTGGCTGCTCGGGTGATTTTTACAGGTGTGAGGCAATGTCTACATACCCTCGGACGTATGATTTCATACATGCAGACTCAGTTTTCAGCCTATACAAGGAAAGGTAATCTTGGTGATTGGTGATTAACTTTGAGGTTTTGTTTTACTATAGCAAAAGTGGGGAAATGACTGCACGTAATCCATGGATATACAGATGTGAAATGGAAGACATATTGCTAGAAATGGATAGAATTCTCCGGCCGTCCGGCGGTGTAATAATCAGAGACGATGTAGATGTGTTGTTGAAGGTGAAGAGCATCACAGAAGCAATGCAATGGGAAGGTCGAATTGCAGATCATGAAAAGGGACCTCACCAGCGGGAGAAAATTCTCTTCGCAGTCAAGCAGTATTGGACTGCACCAGCCCCCGACCAAAGTCATCTGCAACAGACTGTTACAGCCTCCTAACTCTCATTTTCTTTTTATTTTGGTGTTTTCTTCTCTTTATCATCATTATAGTCATAATTGAATCAAATTGAATTTTTTGCAAAGCACCTGTTTTTTGGTCGGTTTTACTCTATTTCAATCTCTTCTTTCTGTAATATGCTTAAGGAATCAATGTAACCAATACTAACAACTAAACACCATTCAAACTGTATTCAGCATTCAAAACTAAGCAGTGAATCAATGAGAAAATGACTCTCTAACCCAAAAATGAATGCAGTCTAGTTTTCCATTTAAGATTTTAGAACAAAATCACCAATTAGTGCATAAACCACATTGAGGACAACCCACGTTATGTTTACCTTCATCACTTGGTGCTGGAACAAAACACAAAGGAAAAGCTGCAGTTCTTACAATCACTTTATAGTTAAATTCTATATTAGATACATCTATCCATGGGTAAAATGCTTCCCCAATACAAGAGGGTGTCATGGGAAACACAGAAGCTAAGTCAATTTCGTACGAAATAACTTCACCAAGGTAAATCTCCACACCCAGGGACCAACAGTCAGAAACACAAGCTCACAACATAAAGCATATTTTTTTGGGAGTTAAAAACTATTGTTGACAGTACCTAAATCAATTCTAGAAACAACACTTCTTGTTTGCTGGCAAGACCCAACTCATTCAAACTTAATGCACTATCATCGATACTGAAAGCACGGCGGGGATATGGCGTTACTGTTAATCAAAGAAATTGAGCAACCAATCAGCATGTATAATTGGACTATTTTTTCCATTTGGTTTCTTTTTTGTTGAGAATATTCTCTTTTGTGTTTTATCTATTCTTAATCCAAAAGGTCATTGGAGGAAAACCAACAACACCTACCACTCTATAAGTACCAGGCTTCACCACTCTACTAACATCTAGAAAGTCAAAAAGATGCTGCAGAAGGAACAAACCACAGTCAGGCTAATTGAGAAATGGAGCGTGGAGAATTGTACATGTTTCAGGTAGTCACCTCTAGCCTATCTGACTTGAGAAAACGACGGCCAAGACGGTTTCCATTTGGCATTCGAACAAGAAGAGCAACAGCATCATCATTCTCCACTTTTGGTTCTTGAGGAAGTGAAGCTTCTTTCATAGCTAGCCACCTCTCAAGTTCCTGTCATCATAAAAATTCAAGATGAAACTGAAAATAAAAAACAAAGGTTTTCTACACTAGTACAATTTAATTGACACGTGACCTAAACTGTGTAAATGCAGTAAGCCTTTTCGATTTTGAACTTTTGATAATCCAAGGTGAGAGTTGGAAGTAGTCAATCTTTAATCAGGACATTTACTAACTTAAAATGAAGAGGACATAATCTATATATGTAGGATGCTGTAAGAAACAGATTCCAGAAATCACATATCTTAACTAGCCAAATTTCATAATTAGTTGCAACGTAATCAAGGTAAATCTGTCTTTTCAAGATTTTTCGTTTAACCTTGACATAAACCAATTTTTTGGGGCAGTTTTCTTCTCTTATTTTCCAAGAACCAAACGAGCAATTTGTCTAGTAACTGGTAGCTTCACTTAGCAGACTTCACCATATCTATGTACCTATACTCAAGAGATCAATCAAACTTCACTGTCACTACCCAATCTTAGTAGATATACTACCTCTCTGTCACTGCCAAGCACCTTTGTTTCAGCTTCCTTGGAAGCATTCATCTCTTTATCTCTCTCAGTCAACAGGGATGCAAGATACTCATTGTCCTGCAAACAAAATTTGACCAAGTTTGTCATAAATAGTACTTCAATGTTTCATGGAATAGCTAAGCACAAAGTATAACCTGTTTTTCTTGCAGTTGTCGTTGTTCCATTAGAGACTGTGATGGGCTACAAGGTCCAGACTGTACATCAATATTCCTGCTTCTTTGGGTATCATTTTGCCTATGAGAAGTGTGCAGATGAGATGAAGTACCCTCAGGAACTTTACCAAAAAGTGCAGTCTCAAGCATAACTGCTTCATCAAGCTCCTTGGAAGAAATGCTGCCCCACTTATTTGCCCCAGAAGAATAGGAGAAGAAAGAGAGAGAGAATGGGAAGGGGGATGTACATCGACAGATGAGCATGGCAGTAATATAGTCCCCAATTTTACTTTATCTCTTCAAGAAAGATTCATAACTGTTGGTGGTGGATAGACAATACCTCAACAGAGTAGAGCAAGTCTTCAGCGTGCTGTGGATTACTTCCACTATGGTTGGACTTGCGCTGTTCTTCCACTTCTTCAGTTCCATGTTGAATTGATGAGCTTCCAGGCTTTAACTTAAAAAAAAGTTCACTCACAATTTATCAATTTAAGCACACAGATATTTCTCAAAGGCTAGTTCACTCACAGTTTATACCTTCCATTTGCTATTCTTTTTCTCAAAGGCTTGCCTTGAATCATAAACTCCCAGTTGGCAATATTGATTTTGTTCTTCTTGCTTCTGCTTTTCTTTCTCTAGCTCCATTGTCTGAACTGAGTTCATGTCAAAATATAACCGAAGACAGTACTAAATTGAAAATGGAAAGTACAAAAATTGAACTTAGATGTAAAGACCATTAAGGACAATGAAAGTGCACGAGCCAACTCATCATCTTCTTGTTGAAGTCGCCTTTGTGAAAGTCCAATAACAGATGACTCCTGTGTCAATAAAAATGGAAAGGAAGTATTCAAGTAAGAAAGCAAACGGAATACGCCCACAAGGTCAAATCAGCTGCAAATACATAAAGAAGTATATTTATTGTCAAGATAGCCACTCAAACAACCTTCTTTGAAGCTTCAATGGCGGCTTGAATCATTTCTTCTTCTGTACTGTTGCCATACATATGTGATTCATCATCCCTCATTACATCCCTATGAATATCTGGGCCATCAAGTGGTGATACTCTAGTGACATCCTCAGTAGCATGTCTTGGTCCTAAAGGGCTATGCAGCTCATTCTGCCTACTTGACTCTACAGGGAACCCTGCCTGTTCTCTTGTATCCAGAACACCAGCTGGACGGCCAACAAAAACAGAGCCTGCTATCTGGTTAAGGAGATTTCTTCTGTAACTGGGGTCAAGTAGCAACGAAGGCCTGAAACTCCTTGCAGCAGAGAGAAGTGGAAAGAGTCCTTGTTGCGAAGTTCTAATCTGATTTTGGTTATCCATATTAGTGTCTTGGGGAAAAGCAGCAGAAGTTGAATTCCGACTGGAGAGAAAACCAAAAATAAGAAAAAGAGTCCTTGTTGCAATGAAAGAAACAAGTTCTCCTCCAGAATGTGGAAGCAAACAGTAAACAGAGGTAGCAAATGAAAATTTAATTCAAATAACTTCAAGCAAGAAATTATTTCATACATATTCCCTTCCACTTCACCAAAATGGGCATTCACAGCGTCGCTGAGATTGCCTCCGTATTCCTGGTTAGCAATTACCAATCAGAATTCAGTGCATGGTACATAAACCTTTCTGCAATATCATAAATTGCATTACTAACTCCAGACGTCAACACCTAATGAAAATGAGAACTATAACTGGAAACAATTTGAATTGTTAGGGATGTGCCAGACAACATAATACTAGGAAAAGTAAAACATCTTTATCACTGTAATGAATGGTTAAAAAGTTCTTAAAAATGCATGGACACTGCTGACATATTGGATCTTCTAACAGGAGTAAGCTCTACCCTTTTAAAAGAATAACAACATGCATGTGAAGGACAGCGCCATCGTTTAAGTGGGTTTGAACGTGCTATCAGATTGAAAAAGACATTTAGCTGGAAGATTGGACAAATAGAGGACATTTAATAATTCAGGTCCATATACCAAAACAAATTTGATAGTGAACCAGGAAAAGACCAAGTATGTTAGATCATAAAATTAACAGAGCTTTTCTTCTGCCACTTCAAAAAAGGTTTCGGAATAACTGGTTAAAACTAATTAATTCCCATGGAATCAGGCAATATGTTTAGAATTTAAATCTTCATTGTCAGCCGTGAGTGTGTGGATACATGCTAGGTTATATATTTATTTTTTGCAAAAGGGAAATTTAATCATGATTTGAACTCTTTTAACTCATTGTATCACCTATTAGTGCTAAAGCTTAATCATCTTCGTATTCGTTACAGCACAATAACGACCTACAAGGAGAAAAACAAATTCAGTGTTTCGCCTGTAAAAATTACTGAAAGCAATGTTGAGGAACAACGATGTGAAAGAAAACAGAAGCAAGACACCGACAATGGGGGATCCAAATTCAACTATTTACACATCAGGAGCCAACTGACCAATAAGACAGAAAATAAGCAATGGCGGCAGCTAAGTAATTAAAAGAGGGAAACTAGTCGGGGCCAAGGAGGGGATCTGATTGATAAAGAAGGAAAAAGTGGAATTCCCGATAAGCGAACCTCCAGTTTCTGCAGAGCGAGTGATTCAGAGGCGCCGGTGATGCTCATGTAGGCGTCGATCGCATCCCGAGTTGGTCTGGCCATTGCCGTCGATCTGAGAGAGGAGAAAGAGAGAGAAGACTGTGAAAAGAGAGAGAGAGAGAGAGAGATTTAGCAAGATGAAGAATAAGAAAAGAAAATCTTAGTTATCATTTAAAATAATAATAATAATTAAAAAAAAAAAAAAAGGGGGTAGGGGCTTCTGTGGGAAGTTTTATCCGTGTTGTGTTATGGTGTGGGGAAACGTTGCGCGCCTTTTTTAACTTTTAAGCCTTTAGATTTTACACGTGTCTGAATTGTAACTTACACGTGTATAAATATGACGTGGCAAGCTATGTAGCTTACACGTTTATTTTGCAGGAGGGAAGTAATTGGGTTTGTTATACTTCCGGGTTAGGCCCATCAGTCTGAAAGAGTCCGGCCCGAACCAAATACGTGGCTGGCTAATTACTTGTCGGCCTCATTTAGAAATACATGTTGACACGGTATTGAGTGTTTATTTTATATTTACAATCAATTTTAAACATTTTATTTCATCTTTTATTTTGGTAATTGTGTTTATGAGATTCTTAAATTTGATTTAACAAGGTAAAAAAACAAAAATCTAATTTCTAACTTTTAAAATTTTTGTTCTAACCAAAATATTACATTTCTCTTTGAATTATTAAAAAAGATTCAAAATTTCTTCTGAAATATATATATTTTTTTTTCAAAATTTTTCTTAAACTTTTAAAAAAATTATAAAATTCTTCATCTTCATTAACTTTCTCTAATAGTATAAATGTTTGTGGACTCGAGAAAAACATGGCTTGTTCACATTTGTTTCAAAGTTGCTCATATGGTATCCATGTTGACGCCTATATGGACACCACTCTATCAAGTTCTTTTTCTTTTTTTACCTACATTTTTTTTTACTTTGTTTGCCCAAACATGAAGACTAGTATATCCCCTGTGCCTTAAATCATTCTTCACAGCATTGTTCATCTTTTAAAATATCGTCTTCTTTGCCTTGTCCACGACAAACTTCCATCGTTTTTGTAGCATCGTTTTTCTTTTGCTTGTATATATATATGTGAAGAATATATGTGAATAATGCTTCCATCTTTAAATCATTTAAAATCCACTTTACTCTTTTTTGTACCTTAAATTGTAAAAATAAAAGTTTATATGTTCAAATAAGATATTGATTCATTTACTGTCTTGAATCATTTATAATAATTCTTTACAGGTTTCTTTATCTTATTTCTTATTCTTCACAAGTCTCTGTGAGTATATGTACATAGTGTTAATATCCAAATCCAACTCCAATTAAACAAAGTAATTATTTGATTTCAATTAAGGCAAACTCTTGCCCTAATTATACAAACTCTTATTTTACTTCTATTTATTATAAAAGATAACATAACCATCACTACTCTCTTCTATTTGTTTCTTCTATATTTTTTTACTAGACTAATAGATATGTCCACCATGAAATGACATAAATAAATAATTAAAGATTGAATGCAGGTTAAACAGTATTATAAGATTCAATTATAAATTAGAGTTTACATTTTGCTTTACACATAATGTCCATAAAGTTTTAACATAATTAAGAAAATCCACTTGCAATTGGTACTACATGTATAAGCATGAGATTTCCATTGAAAAAAGCAAATAACAAAACATTCCCAAGTTCCTTTACTTATAAAATTCCATATTTATCTCTCTGTAAGCTCTCTATCTTTGTAACCTTTATGTCTCATTATATTTCTAGCCTTCCTATCTCTTTACGTTTCTCTCTTTCTCTCTCTCTCTCTTATACACACACAGACCATGAATCTCATATATCACAAATTCAAGCATCATTCAAGAAATATATGAACAAGAAGTGAAAAATAAAAAACTTAGCTTAGTAATGGCATGGGAACTATGAACAAGAAAAGCTTGCGCAGAGGAGGAAGGCATGTGTGTGTTTAGCAAGAGCAAGTTTGGTATAAATGTTGCATTGATTTTTTTTTTTTAAAAGAGGATGAATAACTTTGTGAAGAAGTCGATCATTGAGGAGTGGGAAGTTTACAGAGGAAAAACTGTTCTTTACATTAAGGCATGACCAAGATAGAAAAAGAAGAAGTTAAAAAAAAAAGAGCTTCGTAAGATGGGTTAAAAAGATCATGCATCCACATGAGCGCCAACATGGTCTCCACAACAACAAATTTCAAATGAATGTGATGTGAACAAATCATCATTTGTTGAGTGTCCAACCCGTAAGAGAAATTTAATAAAAATGAGAAATTTTATCGCATTTTAAAGTTCGAGAAGAACTTTGAACAAAAAAAAAACTTTAGATGAAATTTTGATATTACATGGTAGAATAAATATTTGAAGCATATACAAGTATTTTTTAAAATTAATATTTTCTTGTGTAGAACATAAATGAACCTTAGTTATTAAAAAACTAAATACGATTATCTCTAATAGCTTGAGAGATCCACTGATAACTTTTAGCCAATCCCTTGAGTCTAATGCTGGAAACCTAATTTATAACATAAACTTATAACTATACCATTCATTATAATATGAGCTTGAGTTTTGTATACTATCACTGAATACTTTAAAGGTGATATTTTTATTATAATAATTAAGAAGATTAGTGAACTGCTAGAATTTATAAAATAATCTCGTTCAATTAATTAAGATTTTATGTCAAAATCATGTAAAATTGATTGGTTTTTAATATATATATATAAACTCATATTATAAGTTAAATATGAGAGATTCAATGCTATATGTTTTTATTTTAGATAAACATTTTATTTCAAGTTTGACGAAGTAATCGTACTGATTTAGTTTTATACCATCATCAATTTATATATTAATAACAAAAAAGTAAATTTGAAAATATACTTGAAAACTTCAATAAAAACATATTCACATGAATTTTATATATGTTAATTTGACCATATTCATTAACCATACATAAAAATGAAAATATTTTATATATATGATTTTTTTTTTGTAAGTCTCTTATACTGAAGGTTAAAGAAAACTAATTTCAATTTTCCAAAATTATATATATATAATTTTGATTAATCAATTAATTTTTTTGTAAATCTCTTAATCTCTCTCCACAATTTAGGTATGGTGAGGGTTTTCTATGGAATTAAAATTTTTATATATTTTTTTAAATTAATATAAATTCTCTTAGAAAACAGTTTACGTAACTTAAAAGTTCATTCATTCCGCATGAACCCTAAAATGTGCCTATTTTTTTTTCCAATCTACCCTTTTGCATGTTTATTTGATAATAGCTTCATTTTTCTTGTTCAACACAATAATATATAAAATTTTTGTTTGAATAATTGTCTAAATAAGTTTAATACTCTAAAAAAAATTGTTATTATAATGATATTAATAAAAATCAAATATAATCATAAACTATATTTCATTATTTACTTATTCTTAAACTTTTTTGGGCGGAACTTCGGATACCCTTTTGACATCAATATCATCCATATACATACACACACACACACACACACACACAGACACATGGATATTCTCAGAGAAAAGAGTATTTTAGGATAACTCCAGTTAGTGTCGGCAGTATGCGTACATGTAGGAAGCCCTTATGTATTTGTATATATAGATTATTGGGGGTGAAGTAGAAGTCAAAAGCAAATTAAGAAAATGTGGTGGGTGGTTGGTTTTTGTGTTTTGGGGGGTTGGATTTTTGGGTGGGTTTGGGATTGGGTAAATCCCAAGTGCAATGGCAAACTTCCTCCAGGCAACATGGGCTTCCCCATCATTGGCGAAACCATTCAATTCTTTTCCCCTTATGGCTTCTACGACATCCCTCCGTTTATCAAATCCAGAATTACTAGGTACACCTATGTATACATATATTCATTCGTAGAGGTTCAGAACTTCAACTTTTGAATGCATTGGTTAGTCTGTAGCAACCAAGTTTTATTGGTTGGTGTAGTCACAATGAACTATAAAATACGGTCTGATCTTTCATTTGTAAATAGAAATGGGTTATGTAAACATTTCATTTTACAGTTGTTGTTTTTTTTTTTTTTTTTTTTTTTTTTTCAAATTATAGATTCGGGGCAATTTTCAAAACGAGCATAGTCGGGAACAAGGTTGTGGTATCAACCGATGCGGAAGTGAACTACAAAATCTTTCAGCAGGAAAACAAATCATTCTTGATTTGGTACATGGAAAGCTTCATTGAAATTTTCGGACAACAAAGCTTACTTGCATATCATGGAATGATTCATAAGTATCTAAAGAACCTTATCTTGCACCTTGTCGGCCCTGAAAATCTTAAAGCTAACGTAATTCATGAAATGGATCATGCCACTCGCTGTCATCTCAACTTATGGGCTTCTCATCACACCATTGACGTCAAAGAAGCAGCTTCAGATGTATATACACATATACATACATGCATACATTTTCTCTCTTGATTTTCTATTAGTTTCTAACCTTTTATGTAATGGGTCTAAAGTTTTAATTATTTTATGCAGATGATATTTGAATATTTCTCTAAGAAATTAATCGGGTACGATGAAAAGAAGACTTCGAGAAAATTGAGACAGAACTACATCGACTTCATTGAAGGTCTTGTCTCCTTTCCTCTTAACATTCCAGGAACTGCATACCACTCGTGTTTACAGGTAAAATTCTTTTGTTTTATATATATATGTTCTTTTAAATTTTTACTTTTTTATTATCTTTTTGCAATATAATTATATGTATTATATAATAAATATAGGGTCGAAAAAATGCGATCAAGGTGATAAAGGAGATGTTGAAAGAGAGAAGATCATCAAAAGCAGTTCATAATGATTTCTTAGACTACTTGCTTAAGGAAGTTGATAAAGACAATACAATTTTGAGTGAAGGCATTGCCGTAGACTTAATCTTTGCGCTTCTTTTTGCAACTTACGAAACTACGTCTGCATCTATCACTTTGTTAATGAAATTTATTTCCGAAAAACCCCAGGTTTTGTTAGAACTAAAGGTATATATTTTTCTTTTGTATATGAATAAATATAGTTTAGATTATCATACGATATTTTTTAAGTAAATTTTAATAATTCAGATTCGGATTTTACTCGTGTTTTATCAATTCTCAGAAGGAGCACCGAGGAATTGTTGAGAAAAGAGAGAATGAGAATTCGCAAATTACATGGGAGGAGTATAAATCAATGACTTTCACACATATGGCGAGTTTAATTTCCAAAATTAGAACTTTCTGTTGATCAAATCTGTGTGTGTGTGTATAATGTTTATATATTTTCAGGTCATCAATGAAACAGTAAGGCTTGCTAATATTGTCCCGGGAGTTTTCAGAAAAGTGTTAGAGGATGTTGAGGTGAAAGGCAAGTCAATTATCCTTATCATGATATATATATATATATATGTGTGTGAAGTAGAAAGTATGCTGAAAATTACTGAGAGAAGTTGGTTTTGCAGGATATACAATTCCAGCAGGATGGATAGTCATGGTTGTTCCATCAGTGCTTCATTTGGATCCTGATAAGTATGAGAATCCTCTTACATTTAATCCATGGCGTTGGAA